CCAGGTCTTAAGCCAGTGATTCTCAACCTTCCCAAAGCTGTGACCCTTTAATACAGTTCCTCATGTTGTGGTGACCCCCAACCATATAATTTGTTGCTACTCATCACTGTCATTTTGCTACTGTTATGAATCAGGTGACCCCTGTGAAAGGGTTGTCTGACCCCCAAAGGGGTCACGACTCGCAGGTTGAGAACCGCTGTCTTAAGCACTCAACTACTAGCCCCAAACTGGTGGTTTAAAACCATCCAGGGGTGCCTCAGCAGCCAGGCCTGGCCAGCTGTCCTGAAAGGCCACAGCCCGAGAACCATGGGCGCGTGCTACTGTGCACACCATTGCACCCTCCGTGGAAGGTGAGTGGCATCAACCTGACAGCCACCACAGGCAGGGAGGGTTTGGCTTGATGTACACCGCCTGTTCCCGTTGATGCCAGCAGAGGGTGCCGCGAGCCCACTGAGCCAACAGCACTGTCCCCACCAGATTCTTCTGAGGGAGCCCCACACACTGACTGCTGGACTTAGACCATTTGGTCCCGCATTTCCTGGACTTAGACCATTTGGTCCCGCATTTCCTGACGGAGAATGTTTTCCTTAGTAATAGAGGACATTTCCCAAGGAGAGCCAGGAAGTACTGATAAAAACCGTGTCATTTGACCAAGCAAAGCCTCTGCCCAGTATTGCTGTCTGCACTCCCCGGAGCAGGGTCTTACGGCAGGGAGCTCTTCAGTAAGGCCAGTCAGGCTTCCAACTCAAGAGCCAAGCCTAGGTGACTTGGCTCAGGCCCACAAAAGCATCTTCTGAAGGAAGAGATTACTGAGAGCTGCTGCTGTAAATAAATGACATCAGCACTCGGCTTTCACGAGCCGACAGACATGGAAAGCCACCACCACAGGACCTGTGTGAAGGAAGGGAGCGTACCTGCAGCCTCTCTTCTGGGGTCCAAGTCTCCTCACGTCCAAGTCACCAGGGCAGGAAGCTCTTTCTCCCCTAAATATTTCACTGTGTCGTCGAGTCCAGTCTGTCTCCTAATGACCCGTGCACAACAGAAGGAAACCCCGCCGGCCCTGCACCATCCGCACAGTTGTTCCTGTGTCTGAGCCCACTGTTGCAGCCACGGTGTCAATATGTCCTATCAAGGACCTTCCTTTTTCCCTGACCCCCACTTTACCAAGCCTGCTGTCCTCCTCCAGGGACTGGTCTCTCCTGACAACATGCCAAAGTATGTGAGATGACGGCACACCATCTGTGCCTCTCAGGAGCACTCTAGCTGTTCCTCTTCCAAGACAGATTTGTTTGGTCTTTGGGCAGTCCCTGGTACTTGGAATCTTCTTCACCAGCACCATGATTCATTTTATTTAAACAATGATCTAAGTAGTCCTGTAGAGATGTTCACGTTCTACAAACAAAAGGCCACACAGTCTAGCTTACAAAGCTTAAGTTCTCATGTGCATAATTTTATTTAAATGACCTAATTTTTGTTATGGAACGTTGAGTTGATTCATTCTTATGACTTCTAAATCAGACTCATTGTATTTTCAAAAATCTAAACATTTACTAGAAGTTAGGAAATATCTCTCTTAGTTTCCATTGAAGCAGCAGTCGGGAAGTCAAATGATACATTGCATTGGGCAAATCTGCTACAGAAAGATCTCGTTGGAGTATCAAAAGGCAAATCTGCCTCTTTGAGGGCTTAGGTACCGCTGACCGAGGTGTGGTGCTTCCAATCACCTCGTATGTATGCGAGAGGTGGCCAGTGACCGAGGAAGACCAGAGACGAACGGGGCCTTGGAACTGTGGTGCTGGTGAGGAACACTGAACGTACACGCACCGCCAAAAGGCCAAATCAATCCGTCTCCAGCAGACGGACAACTAGAGCGCTCCTTAAAGGCAAGCTTGCTGAGACGTCATCACACGGACTTTGGCATGTTGTCAGGAGGGACAGGTCTCTGGAGAGGACACCGTGCTTGGTAAAGTGGGTCAGGGTCAGGAGGAAGGCCCTCAGCAAGATGGACTGACAATGTGGTTATAGCCATGGTCAGAAGCATCACGACTGCTGAGGGCGGTGCAGGACTGGGCAGCGTTCGCTGTGCGGAGCAGAGGGTCACTACTCGACAGCACCTGGCAGCAACAGTCCGTGGGTGTGTAGACGCCTGCGTCGACTCCTTCCTATGCCTCTCTTTCCGAATGCCTCCAAGGTTTACTGCTGTTCTGGCCTACCTCAGCGAGGGTGGAGCCGTCACCCCTCCATTCCACGCAGTCGACGTAAGTGCTCAGTCAGTCGTGCGAGGGAAGCTGACAGCGTCATACCTGTAGGACTCAGTACCTGCCTGCCCCCCGAAAGGAGATACCATACGCAGTCTGATCAGTATAAATGAGTAAAAGTAAAATCTAGCACAGTTCTTAAAAACCAATACTGTTCTTCCTAAAGTAGTATGTAAGCTATAAGAAATATAGTGAAAAGTAAAAGTAATTCAGCCACCAGCTCTTAATTCATTCACATACTTCAAACCATGCCTAGCCCCAGTTTTTCCCCAGGTTTGCAGTCATACTACCTCTAAATATGAATCCGTGTTTCCCTTCCCGTTATACCCCCAGCATTTCCCCACTGCCCATGACTGCCGAAGCAGGGCTCTTCTCCTCATGTGATGAGCATGGCCTGTCGTGAGGCCAAGTGCTGGAGGTGGGGATGCTGGGGGACGAGGCAGCAGAAAGACTGGCCAGCTTGTCAAGAACTGTGGGACCAGGTCACAAGCAAAACCGTGTTCACTAGCCGCCCCTGCTTCAGCCTAGCCCCTGACCATGAACCCCACAGCTCCCATCTCAGCTGAGGGAGGGAAGCCAGCCAAACCTGGGCCCCACCTGGACTCAGCCGGTACGAGTTTTGCGATGTCGGGCAATGCCATTCCCCGCTCCAAGTCCCCACTGCCTCAGCTGGAGCTGGAGGACAGCAGGATGTGCTGGGCAGACTGTGGCCACAGGTTCTAGCTGGCTCGGGTGGTCTTGACTGTCTCATTACGAACAAGGGGGCCAGCAGTGTCCCTTGGAAAGGAAAAGCTGCTCAGCTTGGAGGGCAGCAGCCCGTGTGCCCGCATGCCTTGCGGGAGACCCAGAAGGCCGGTGTCCAGTGATGAGCGGAGTGTGGCGAGCTTGCTAGGGTCACAGCTGTTGCTTCAGCGAGTCCCGTCACTCTGGCAGGACCAACTCCCCTCTGCACAGGTCCCCCCATGAGCACACACCTCAGGACAAGAACACAACGCGTGCTGGCCGCACTCCAGCTGTGGCCATCTTTCTCTCTCCCACTCCACAGTGAGAGCCTCGCCGGTCTTCCTGAAGGCCCTGCTTCTCTCAGTCCACTCCCTCAGGCCTCACCCTGCCACTCCCCACAGGCTGCCACACCGGCAGTCACAAAGAATGGTCAACACTGGGCTCATGTGACTATTTCCAGCAGACCCGAACCTACTGCTGTTGGGTCTACTCAGAGTCACTGGGTTCCCAAGAATAAATCCCCGTGGGAGCAAATAGCCTCCACTTTCCCCCAGAGTGGCTGATGGGTTTGAACTGTCAACCTTGTGCCCAGCAGCGCAGTACTTAGCCTACAGCGCCACCCAGCACCACCGCGCCTCCTGGAGAGCTTGCTTCACGTGGCTCCCAGGACACCAGCTTCCTGTTTCCCCTCTATCTTTGGGAGCCCCCTTTGCTCTGTGGTCCTCACCCTCCCCAACAGCTACACCCCAGACGTGCCCCATTTCCTTGGTGAGCCCTCCTGGTCAGATGGCTTTAAATACCACCTGTGTGGTGCTGAGCCCGACACCCTGACCTGTACAGCTCCCCCAACCCCTCTCCCTGGAAGTCTAGACTTCTGCTCACCGTGAACCACCACCTGGTTCTCGGATAGACCTCTCAAACTCAAGTCCATACTGAGCTTCCAATAGGACTGTGCTAGTTAAGGTTTATTGTGCCAGCCTGGCTGATAACACCTGAGTTTAATTGAAGGGTGGAGATAAATGGCTTGGCGAACCTCACCCTGCTGGTTCGCTGGTCTCTTGCTCTCTGATGGTCAGACCAGTGTGTGGCTGCCTTAGCTAGCGTTCTGCCTCAGTCCCTGAGGAGAAGCCACAGGGACCTACCCTGATTCTGGAGCAGCCGCGTGGAGACCCTGCCAGAGCTGAGATGCTCACACGCTCACTGACTCGGCTTTCCTTCTGCAGTCGGCGTCATTGTGTGTGTTTTATGAAATTGAGGAGGACTTTGTAGATCGGTGTCTGGCATATGGGCTAATGTCGGACTTATGGGCTTGGGATGCTTTCTGAATGTACACTTACCCTTTATATGAAACTCTCTTACACATATGTGAGTCTCTGTGGATTTGTTTCTCTAGTTCACCCACACTATCACGAGGACCCTCAACACCTGCTCCTCTCCCACTGGTCCTGTGCACTGTCCCGTCATCAGGCCAAAAGCCTTGGCGGTCTGGTCGGTTCCACTTTTTCATAATTTAAATAGTCATTTTAAAGTGTATTAAATATTTTACAATGAAGTTTAATATACATGGATGCCCAACGGCATAGGAAGTTGACGAAGTATTCTATTAGAGAAAACCCACTGCTTGGGTTCGAATCTACTCAGAGAAGCCTCACAGGCCAGAGTACAACTCACTGCTCCACAGGGTTTTGAGGCTGTAAATCCCTTACAGGAGCAGACAGCCTTATTTTTCTCCCAAGGAATCGCTGGTGGGTTTGAACTAATGATCTCATGGTTTGCAGCCCAACACTTATGCCACAGCACCATCTACGTTCTTAAATGATCAGATTTCACCTTCAAATATCTAGTTACTTATGTGATTTGCTTGTAAGAAGTTGCCTGGTGAGTAGTGACGACTCCGTCAATCCGCTGTTGCCATTTTCTATGGCAGGGCCAGGCCCGATGCCCCTTGGAGAAGGGAGGGAGGTGCAGACTGCACAGCGGGACGAACTCACAGATGCTCCTCCCGGGGCTGCTACTCACACTGTGGACGCCGAGCGCTTTCCAGACGGCGAAGCTGATGGCACCCACTCCACACCAGGCGTACAGCGAGCCCCAGCCCAGTGCGCGCAAGGCCAGGGCCGCCCCGCTCTCCGGCAAGGCCGCCGTGGCCACACTGCCCTGAGACAAAGACAGAGAGGTCAGGGTGAGAAGGATCCACGCAGGAGAAAGGTAAATATTTGAGTGTTGGGAAGGAATCGCTCCGAGGACGCTGCGTGCCGCTGGGGTTCTGATGTCCTCCTATCACGCTGGCTCCAGTCGAGTCATAACTGAGCCCGTGAATAACCCACCGTCGCCTGGGGTAGGGACCTGCTGATGCATGCCAAGGAAACTGCGCGCAGATCGAGGGGGTCACTGTGGGTGGGAAATGACCCTGGGGACCCCCCAAGCCCGGCTTTCTCTGACTGACACACCCTGGAGTATGCGAGGCATCGTGATCAGAGCAGGGCCGGGTACCATGGAGGCGGAGGTAGAAGTGAGAGGCAACTGCCTTCTCACAAGAGTTCAGATCAATAAGAGCTGTAAGAGTCCCTGATATAATGAGTTTAAAAAGGAGTTCAGATCAATAGGCTTCCTTATTGTGCAGTCAGTCAGACTGGGAAAACCTGTATGTCAAAGCAAATGGGCCGAAGGCTGAAGAACATTTAGGTCTAAAGAGAAAATGCAAATAAAACTCCAAATGGGCAAATAGCACACCAAGACAATCCTCGAAGCCTGATACACCTGGCTCATTCATTTAAGAAAACACCCTCTCACCTTCGCAAGGGAAGTTATCCATGGTTTCAGGTGGATTTCAAGTTTCTTTTCCGGTTTGTCAGAGATCATGGCATGCGGGTGGCCGGGGAATGCTGCTCTGAGACCCAGCCCTGGTGTAACTGCTTACAGCCCTTCAAAAGGCCCGTGCTGGGGAGTAGCCTCATATACAAAGTGTGCGGGTTCCTCTACCCAGCCCTCTCAAGCCACCAGAAGTGCCGATCAAGCTAACGCACAGGAACTAGTAGACAGTAAAATCACGTGGCCAAGTCAATGCCAACCTCTCACTTCAGTGTGGCCATGACCCGTGTTTGAAGTCTTCACAGGATGCAGATGACTGGTGACGACGACACCTTGTGTCAGTGGTGTTAAATAAGCTGTATCCCAAGCAGCCACAAATAGGGGGAAGGACAGGGCAAAATGTCAAGGGTAAACTAATGTAGGGGCCATACCTTAGTCCTCACTAGGCTGTTGGGCATTCACCCATTTTTCACAATAATTTGGTTTCTAGTCAGACATAAAAAAGTGTCTATGGCTACAACTTCATTGTCTCTCACCGTGTTTATTTTGTTGGCATTTAGTAGGGTTTGGCAGATAACCGACAGGGAAAAATGATAAGTTCTTTAAATTCATGACATTACATTTCAAGTCCAGGGCAAGCCGTGAGATTAAATGAATGGCTCATAATTGGGTATCCTAAATTCAAAACTCCAAGTTGGCCTGCAAGTGCTATTACTGCTTCCTTTGCTCCTAGGAAAGTATGCATTTGAACGAGCTCTACCTAGTAATGACTGTTTTCAGCTAATTTACACCAGGGACTTGTTTCCATTTACAAAGACAATTTCACACTTTACGGTGATGGGAAAATTGCACTCTTTAAGGGTAAAGGTTGTACAGCTGATTAATGTAATTGCTGTCAAGTTGGATAGCTGTAAAATGCTGACTTGGCAAACGTTGTGTGACAGGCACATTTATGACGACAACAAAAGGGTGCTGTTTAGGGTACTTAGTACAGCTAACCTTATGGATGCAGCTCTTGATTCGGAGGTTTGAAGTCATGGTTTCAGAGGACATCCAAAGTAATTGGCCCAATAACACATTCAGTCCTCTGGTCGATCTCCCAGTTCACTGCACAGAGTTTTCAAGAGGCCATCCTCTTGCACAACAGGTCTCTGCTCATTTAGAGCAACAGAGGAGGAGGAGAGTCTAGACTAAGAGAAGCATATGGAATGCCCATCGAACTGCCTCTGTGAACAGCTGCCTCCGTTCCTGTGAGACCAGAACTGGATGGTGTCCATTGCCATCATTGAACCTTCTGATCTCACAGTCTATAGACACATCTTGATGGGGGGGCGGGAGACGACTACAGACCAAAAATTCAAATTCGTGTGGAACTCGGATTTTCTGGGGCTCTGGTGGCTGGATGAGCCCACAAAACTACTGCCCTGAGAGACTCTTTAAATCTTAAACTGAAAATATCCCCTGAAGTCTTAGCTCCCAACAGTCGTTCGTTAGACTAGAAAAGGATGCGTGTCTTGGGATCAGACTGATGAGAGCAGCTGGGGAGGTCCGACAGGGAAGGCAGGGGTGGGGGCAGCACATGTGCTCATGGGAGAGACGACTCAGAAAAAGAGGGCAAGGGTGGTCACCCAGCACGAGGACTGGGACCGATGCCTCCCAGCTGGGCATAAGAAACGCTCCAGACGGCTGTGAGTGTGTCCGCTCCTACAAGGCTGTGCACTGTGTGTAAGCATCAACTTGATGGCAGTGGTGGGTCACCCTAGAGACTGTCCTCCAAAGAGGACCAGTACTATTGGAGCTGTATCTTTATCTTTAATTCAGCATTAAACTTCCTAATGCTACTAGATTACACTGGAATCCCAGAGTTGGATGCACCTTCAGGGTCTCTTCCCACACCCCTGCTTTCACCGGGAGGCCCCAACAAGGCGATGCTGGACTAGGATCTGCAAGGTTGGCTTAACTGGCTGTTCCAATGAAGATAGAGGCACCTCCTAAGGCCTGGTGATCTGTCAGAAAGTCACAGCCATGACACTCCTCTGGAGGCTGTTAACAGGCAGGGTCACTAGGAGTCAGGATTGTCTTAATGGCAACTGTTCTGTCGTTGCTTCCAGTGAGGGGACGGTCAGTGCTTTCTGAAGCGCTGCATCCCACTGCTGGCTGGCTGCTGTTTGAAGCAGGACCTGGGAGGGCCCTCTGCCTGCCAGAGGCCCAGCGACCCCAGTGATTCTTGCTGGAGTCACACAGGGCAAGTGCAACTTGTCACACCCAGGGCAGCCCGCTACATAAATGCCTGAGAGATAGCCTCTCCCCATCGCCATCTACTTAGAGGTTGGTTCTGGCTTCAGGCTAATACCTGCCATCCTGCAGATCCAATGTCCTCTCTCAGTCTTACCTCTCACACCCAGCCTGTACACTCAACATTGGCTCCTCATGCTTTCTTCGACAGCTAGTGCAGCTGTCTGCCTCCTGGCAGTGAGAGTGCTTCAGTGAGTGCAGGTGCAGCTTTTTACCTGCTGGGCCTTGAAGCTCCCGAGTAGGGAGGGCACGGTGGTTTTCTAATTCCTCAGTAAGAGCTGCCGTCTAGCTAGAAGTGCCTCTTAAGACAAGGGCAGCCATTCTGCGGATACATTTAAAGTCCTCACCGTGGCTTATATCCCACATCTTTTCTCAAATTTCGATTCTGCTCACCTCCTCCCAGGAAGTGTTCCTTGAAAAGTCCCCTTCCTCTAAGACAGTGGTTTCAACCTGTGGATTGCAACCCTTTTGGGGGTTGAACGACCCTTTCACAGGAGTCGCCCGGTTCATAACAGTAGCAAAATGACAGTTATGAAGTATCAACGAAAATAATTCGATGGTTGGGGTTCACCACATGAGGAACTGTATTAAAGGGCCGCAGCATTAGGAAGGTTGAGAACCACTGCTCTAGATTTATCTGCTCTGGAGAGTTCATACAAATGCAATCATACAATGTGTAACTTTGGGTGTCTGGCACCGTTAACGGAACATAATATTCTGAAGGTTCACCCACAACATGGCACAAACCGACTCCATTTTTATGGCTGGGTGTTACTCCAGCCAGCCCTGAACCCTTCAAAGCTGAGACCTAGGTGAGGCGGAAACCTGTCAGAGCAGGAAAGCGTGACTATTTTCCATGGGATGGACACTTTGGGACTGGCAAAGACAAGGTGGTCTGTGAGTTCCAGTTCCCCCGGGTCTTGCTGCTTCGCGAGCATCCCTTTCATCAGCTGCAGGGCATTCCGGCCGGCATGAGCTCCAATACTCTGAACAGGTGTGCAAGTGCTTGGTGGAATGCCTCCGTTCAGTTTTCATGGGTATCTACCCAGGAGGGAATGGTTTAAACTGTCTGAGGAACTCAGTACGACTGACTTAATTCCATGTAAAATATTGTTTTGCGGGGTACCCTCTCAAATATATATATGACCGTAAAAGTCTTAATAGCCAGAGAGAGTACATTACTCTTTTATGAAGAAATGTATTTGCTGTTGGTACATTAATCCTCCCAGAAAAAGCAAGAAAATTCTGTCAAGATTTCTCCCAACGTTCATCACTGGCATTTTAATTATAATGGCATCAAACTAATCAGCTAGTCTGATAAGAGAGCTCATTTGTAACATCTGGAACCTGCTCTCCACTCGAGTCTACATTTCCTCTCTGCAGTGCCGATGCAGGGCTTCCGAGTGTGGCTGTGGAGAGCGCCCAGGATGCCTGACTTCTGCACCCCAAGCCCCGCTTCAGGATGGAGCCTTCTGTAGTTGGAAATGGCTTACATCTTTAGTAGAGAAACCCAGTCATATATGAGGGAGATTTTTCTTCAGCCATTTTCTACCTTTAGAAAGAACATTCTCACTGATCTGAGCCCTTTTCCCCAATGGCTGTCACTTCAGGGGTCCCCTAGGGACCACGATGTCTCACACACACCTACTAGCTTACTTAACTGGCCTGAATTTCCCTCCAGAAATAGTAGCATTAAACCAGGGCCCGTTGACATGCTCTGGCCTAAATTTTATTTTAGAGACATAGGTCATTCCCCAGGAAGAAAAAAAATGAGCCCATGTTTACACATATATATGTAAAATATACGGAAATGGTTTATAAATAAATATGTAAATTTTTGCAAATACATATTTATACATCTCAGTGCCATCGAGCCAACTGCAGCTCAGAGCAAATCTACAGAGCAGGGTAGAACTGTCCCTGCGGGTTTCTGAGACTTAAATCTTTTCAGCAGTAGACAGTTTCAACTTTTCCTGTGGAGCAGCTAGTGGATTCAAACTTTGGACCTTGTGGTTAGCAGCTCAACACTTAGTCCAATATGGCATCAAGGCTCCTTTATACATATGAATATACAAATAAATATATATAATGTACACAAAACCATATTTGTTTCATTAAATCAAGTACAAACGGGTAATAACTATGCATACAAAGAATCCTTAATGGCATAGCAAGAAGATTAAAATCTTATTTTTGCTTTTTAGATTTAAAAAAAAAAAACACCAACCAACCAACCAAACTGGCACATTTCGCAATTCTATCACATCACACTCATAAAACAATGCCGAGATTAAAGAAGTCGTTGTCATTCTCTTTATCCTCCCCAAAATAAATTTTAGTGGAAGCTTGATGTTGAAAACATTCACAGTTTTTTCCTCTGGGGGGGTGAATTCTTCAGTTCACCAAAAAATAAAAAAGAAGTCCAGGATGTTCATATGCCCTGCTCAGAAATTTCAAAAAGAACACGGACTGGCTGATTCTCTGGAGAAAAAGATGAACTCGCCGAAAATGAATGTGAGACCAAGGTCTTTAGCTCTGAGTGACAGCTACATGACAAAGCTACATTCCCCACTGCCACAGGATTGTCCTGACTTACCGTGCATACTCGAGTGTCAGCCGAGTGTTTCCAGCACAGTTTTAATGCAGTTTTTGTGGTAAAATTCGGTGCCTCGGCTGATATTCGGTCAGCTCGTACTTGAGTACACATGGTACGTGAAAAGTAAGGCATAGAAAGCCCAAGCTTAAGGAATCACACTGTACTCAGCATGCTCAGGATAAAACAGAACAGGAAATTTTCTGCGTGAAGACTCTGGAGTTACAACACCTTTGAGTCTGCAGGTATTGCCCTGCACTCTGCAACACAGCAAGTGGCAAGACGACTTTATTACGTAGGCACAGAAACTAAAAAACTCAGCTGTGCAATGTCTGTCAGAACAGCAACTGTGTTCCTGAGAACAAGGCTCTTTTTCTCTTTTTTTAGCTTTTATTCAGTTTTCTGGGATGATTTGATATAAATCAAATTAAATTTTTTTAAAAAAGAATGTTCAACCTAGTTATTTTCCCAGCAAAGCACTCTTATATAACATTTTGATATTTTGGACGTTTTAAAAATATATGCTTTTTATTAAAAAATCATGTTATTGGGGGCTCATACAACTCATCACAATCCATACATCCATCGTGTCAAGCACATTTGTACATTTGTTGCCAACATTCTCAAAACATTTGCTTTCTACTTGAGCCCTTGCTATCAGCTCATTTTTCCCCCTCCCTCATGAACCCTTGATAATTTATAAATTATTATTTCGTAAAAAAAAACCATATTCTTTACATCACGGAAGTAGCTGGTTATATTTTTATAACACATAAATATTTTTTTAAGATTTATCTTGACAATTTCTCAGAAGCTGTAGTTGTGTCAGAAAGATGACTAATGACACCCTTTCTGACTATTTATTACATAAATCGGTCTTAAAATAATTCAGGAGGTATTGGAAAGATTCTTACAATGCCATCATATTAAGTTGGAACACCAAATTACTTTAGATCAGTTAGCTATATGAGTGTATGTATATTAGGGGGCTTCACAGAGTTCAGGGAAAAATCCCATATCTTTGTCTTTCTGAAGCCCCTTTGTATTATTTAACTGAGCAGACATGGCATATGTATATTTTGACTCACAGTGCCACAGGTAATGAATGGCACAATGATTTTATGAGGTAGATGTTATGCAAATATGAAATGTACCAGTTTCGGAAAAATCTTGAACTTTTGGCAACATTAGCTTGTACTTCTTCCCTCTTTGTTTACTCAAAGAATGGCAATGAAAAATGTTCAACGATCCCGCCCAGTGGCTTACAACTCCCAGTGTTCTAGCAGGGGACTCCGCTGCGACAACGAAAACCTGACTCTAAGTTGGTGGTGATCATCCTCCCGAAATGACAGTAGTGCAGACTGTCCCCAGCTGAAAAGTTGGGTCGTTTTCAAGTTCTTTTGGAGTACAATTTGAAACTGTATTATAATTAGTTCCCGGGTTCCCAGGCTAGTGGATGAAGTCTATTGAATAGTGCTGCTAACCGATCCTGTCATTTCTTCCCTGCAAGTAATCAAAGATGGAAAGTGACCTGTTGGGCAAGGCACTTAATCCATCTGTGCCTCTGTTTCCTGATCTGTGAGTGGGGACCACAGTACCTTATAAGGGAATTTGAAAAAAAGCCTTTAGAACAGCACTTAGAAGCACCCACATGTTAGAAAATAAAGCTGTTCTTGGATATTGTTATTAATGCCGGTTAAGAGGTACACTTCTTGGGTCTAAAATGTATAGAAATGCTTGCTTTTTCAAGCATTATAAAAGGCCATCGGTGCTTTCTTTACTTCTCCTGTACCAGACAGCAACCATTTCCTGTAAACAGTATCGATGCTGTGAATGGATTTCAGAGTCACACACCTTACTGAACCAGGCAGGGCTTCTCTTCTTAGCCAGTGATAACGTCGTAAGGAATCCAGCTAGCATTCCCGCGGCAGCAACAGTCCCAAGGAAAATGCCACCTGTCAAGAGGCGGGGATCGGGTGGGCCGGAGGGATGCATATGGAAAACAAACAAAAGTGGAATTAAAAAGGTGTACATGAGAACGTCTTAGGCACTATTTAAGGTACTATTTTTGTTTTTAATCTGAAACGCTGGCTGAGCAGCTCTGGTCAGTGGTAGGTGATAAACCCGTTGGGGTAAAAAAGGCACACACAGCCCAGATGCGGATTCTGAGTCATAGCAATCCTAGGACCGAGCAGAACTCCCCCATAGGGTTTCCAAACTGTAACCTTTAGGGAAGCCGACTGTCTCATCTCTCTCCCGTGCAGCAGCCAGTGGGTTGGCATGCCCAAGCACTTAACCCCTGCAACATCAGGGCTTTCCAGGTAAAAAGATATGGGCTGTCACCCCAGAGAGCGCTCAGCACCTCAGGTCCCAGGGTCATCCCGGGTGCAAGGAACGGGCGCAGGGTCCCTTCCCCTCTTCCCTGGAGCAATGGCGTGAGGCTTCTCCCGTGGGGACAAACACAATGGCATCGTGGGGACCAGAATCGGGCGTGCGGCACAAGGCAGGTGCAGAGGCGTGGGGGTGGAGGGGGGGGGGCAGCACGGACAGGAGCAGCGCCTGGGAACCTGTCCTCGCCCTTGGGGCGCCTCCGATACACTGGGGTGCACGGGGGATTGTCCGCTGACGCCAGGCCGGGCCCTGGGATCTCACTCGGTCACCCGCACCACACACATCACACCTTTAACCAAGAAAAGCCGGTCGTCCGAGGGCTCGCGAGCCTCCAGGCGCGAGGCTGCCGCCCCGGCCCCGGCGCCCGCGGCCTCCATGCTTCCGCGTCGCCACGGCTTCCGGTGCCGAGTCGGCCGGGCGGATGCGCGTGCGGGGCGGAGAGAAAGGTTCCGCCGCCGACCTCTTCCGCGGTGCACGCTGAGAACGCGGCTGCCGCACGCCCGGTGCACAGCGCTCCTGGCCCCGCCCCGGCCCCGGCCTAGGGGCGGGGAATCCTCGAGGCTCCGCCCCGGCCCCGGCCTAGGGGCGGGGAATCCTCGAGGCTCCGCCCCGGCCCCGGTCGAGGGGCGGGGAATTCGCTAGGCTCCGCCCCGGCCCCGGCCGAGGGGCGGGCAATCCGCGAGGCTCCGCCCCAAGTCCCCAGGCTAGCGCAAGGGAGGACCATGGCAATGACCTTGGAAGTGGACTACGTTGTCTTGTCGGCTTGAGACACTGCCCTGGCCTGATGGTAGGAGGCCGACTGGGCTGGGGTCTCAATGAGACCCCGGAGCTCAGGGTTCCTGAGCAGCCTTACTCTTTTATGCCACGTCTTGGCCAGCGCTCACATTCCACTATTCTCAGAAAGAGGCCCCAGCCCATCGTCTACTTCTTGGGAAAGGTGTGACGGTTGTCACCTGGGTCTAAGGCCCGGGTTTTATTTCTCAAGCGAGCCAGCCCACCTGCTTCTCACATCTTCACTCGGCAACCTACCGAGGCCCACAGGAGGGCCAAGGAGACCAAATGAAATGTCTTCTGCAACCTGCAGGGGAGAGCAGGGACCACCAAGGGTTTGCTCATGCAGAGCTGCCAGGATGCCCCAGAGTCTGTCCTGCTGGGAGCTATTGGTAATCCCTGATAATGAAGTCTTACAAAACATCATCACTTCCATACAGAGATCTGCTCCGAGCAGCCAATTAACTGACAGGAAGTTTCCCCAGAAGTAGAGGCTATAGAAATCACTGCTTTTTGCTGCGTCTGGATCATGCATTTAGTTCATCCTACAGAGTTGGTTCTCTGGATTTGATCCAGTGACCTACCTTACAGTCGGCCAGCCCTGGGAATCTGTAGCAGCCTGACAGTTTACCTACCAGCCATGGGCTCATGTGCCTCTGCAGACGGAAGCCTGCCACCTGAACTGCCAATCTGGGGTACATCAGCCCTGCAACTACCCTTGTCAAGAGTAATCTGAAGCCTGATACCTGACTCCTAGACTTGTCTACCTTTACACCTGTGTTAGCCATGTTGGGGGGTATAAATCTCGCTATATGTATACATCCACCACTCATCTATCACTTTGTCATCCTGAGGTAGCTTGCACATTGCTGTGATGCTGAAGCTTTGCCACTGGTATTTCAAAAACCAGCAGGGTCACCCAGGGGGAACAGGATCCAGCAGAGTGCAAGCTAAGAAGAGACAATGAAAAAGGAACAGGTGATCCACTTCAAAGGGATCAGGCACTGGAAATCTTAAGAACTGCAGCGGAACATTGCCAAATATTGGGCTGAAAGATGAGCCTTCAGGTGGAAAGTACTCAGAATACGGCTGGGGAAGAGCTGCCCCCTGCAAGTAGAGTCCACCTTAATGATAGGGATTAGACAAAGCTTTTAGGACATTCATTCGTTGAGGAGGCAGGGCTCAAATAAGAACCAGCTGTGAACAGCCAATAATAATCAGAGCATGGATTTACGAAGTATGAATCTGGGAAAACTGGAAGTGAGCTGAAATGGACTGATGTGAGTTGGAAGTAACTCGCTGGCTACTGGTAAATCCCTGTTTCCTCTTCTGTGAAATGAAGGAACTGATGGTTCCGTTCCTCCCTTATAGGGTTGCTGAGAGATACAGTCCTGGCCACACACAAATGCTCCACTGTGAGCTCTACTGACTCTCACCCTGGACTATAGGGTCCGTCGGCAGCACGCTCTGTGGAGCTGTTAGAAGTTCTAGCTGCCAGGGTCCACCCTGGGGTCATGCGTGACTCTAGAGGCTCAGGGGAAGAGATGGAGTTTGAAACATCAGTTTGTGCCGTTTCTGGTGCCCAGGCCAGGAACCACCCTCTTTGCGCTTCCCTCTGGGTGAACCTCGCAGACTTCAACTGACTGTGGATTCCGTGGAAGCACCGTGTCGGCATCTGAACAGGCCCTGTTAGCCAGAACATGAAGGACCAACTGGTGGACCGTCTTGGGACTCATCCTGTTTCCTTGTCTTCACACATAAAGGTGACACTTAAAAAACAAACAAGCATCAAACAGTCGCCTCTGCGTTGCTTCTGGGTTCTGGCGACCACCTCTGCAGCAGAGGCGACTTTTCCAAAAGGTTTCAAGAATGCAGCCTTTTTGTCCTTTTCACACCCTGGTCTACTGTCAGGGGTTCACCAGAGGCTGAATCCACGTGCATTTGCCCTTCACTTTGTTGTTTTTAAACAGAAACAACGTTAAAATGGAGCAAACGGGAGATCAAAGGATAAAGTATGACATTTTAACCTAACTACATCTGTCATGATCAACTTTACAGCAGTCTAGGCTGTAGCCTTTTGGAAGCAGATTGCCAATCTTTTCTTCTAAGGATTCTTGGTAGGTTCCAACTTTCAACCTTTGTGTTTACTAGTAAAGCATTTAACTCAGGGACTTCTAGTAATAACAGCAGCGGCTGGTACTGTGCGTAAGTATTGGACTGGTAACTACAAGCACAAGGTTGGCAGTTCAAACCCACCAGTTGCTCCTCAGGAGAAGGAGGAGGCTCTCTGCTCCTGTGAAGATGTACAGCCTCAGAAACCCTGTAGAGGGTCAGTACAAGTCAGAATTGACTCCACGGCGCTGTGTGTGTGTGTGTGTGTGTGTATAGTGTGCACAAGTGCCTGACTCTGACTGTTTACACTTCTCTCTTTCTTAAATGATTTCATTGGGGGCTCTTATAGCTCTTATAACATTCCACACATCAATTGTATCAAGTATATTTGTACATAAGTTGCCATCACCATTTCTAAAACATTTTCTACTTGAGCCCTTGGTATAAGCTCCTCTTTTTTTCCCCTACCACCTTCGTGAATCCTTGATCAATTGTATATTGTTATTATTAATTCCTATCTTACACTGTCCATTGTCTCCCTTCACCCACATTTCTGTTATTCATCCCCTTTTTGGGGGTAGGGAGGATATATAGCCAATCTTATGATGGTTTCCCCCTTTCTCTCCCTTCCCCCTCCCCGGCCATCACCCTTCCCTCCCGATATCACTACTGCCACTACTGCTCCTGAGGGGTTTATCTAGCCTATATTCCATGTGCTGAGAGCTTTAATCTGTACCAAAGTGTGTGCAGATTGGTAAGCTAGCACTGGGTCATGGTAGTGGGGTGTGGAGGAAGCATTCAGCAGCTAGAGGAATGATGTGTTTCATCAGTGCTATACTACACTTTGGTTGACTCATCCCTTCCTTATAACCCTTCTGTGGGGGGGATATCCAAATGTCTACAGATGAGCATTGGGTCTCCACTCTAAACCCCCTCTTTTGCATCGATATAGTTGTTTGTTTTGAATCTTGTGATACCTGATCCTGTCAACACCTCATGATCACACAAGCTGGTGTGCTTCTTCCATGGGCGCTTAGGTTCTTCCCTGCTGGATGGCTGCTTGTTTAACTTCAAACCTTTAAGACCCCAGGCCCCTATCTTTTAATAGCCGGGCACCTTCAACTTTCTTCACCACATTTGCTTATGCACCACTTTGTCTTCAGCAACCTTGTTGGAAAGGTGAGTATTAAAGAGTGCCAGGTTATTAGAACAAAGTGTTCTTGTGTGAAGGGAGGCCTTGAATAGAGGTCCAAAGCCTGTCTGCTATCTTAATACTTAACACATAAATATATATACATTGGCCTCTATCCTTTTCATTGTAAATGAAGACATTTACATATATACATGCCTATAACTATACATCTATAAATAACTTTTGCCTCCTATTTCTTTCCTCTATTTCCTTTCACCTTCCTCCTATCCCACTGTCATGCTCACCCTCCATGCAGTTCTTAGTAATTCCTCTTGGATACATTGCACTTGATTAAACCCCACTAGGGATTATACGCCCACCTCAACATCAATTTGTTGTTTCTTTTTCCCCGAGTTTGTTGGCTCCCCAATCCCTGTCCTTGACCCCTCCTCTCCCATGTCTCCCTAGAAACGCCGGTCCCGCTTTTTCTCCGTAGGATTGTTCATCCTACCTGTGTTAGTCCAGGTAGACTAGAGAAACAAATCATAGAAACTCATGTGTATAAGAGAGGGTTTTATATAAAGGGTAATTGTACATTAAGAAAGCATCTCAACCTGGTCCAGTCCAAGCCCATAAGTCTGATATTAGCCCATATGTCCAATACTAATCTATTAAGTCCTCTTCAAACTCACGAAACACATGCAATGCAGGATGAATGCAGGACAATCACAGGCCAGTGGATAGAAAGTCTTTGGATCCAGTGGCGTTGTAAGCATCTCAGCGCTGGCAGGGGTCTCTGTGTGGCTTCTCCAGCTTCAGAGGTCTGGTTGCATCAGGGTAGGTCTGTGTGGCTTCTCCAGCTCAGGGCACTAGCATAGTTCCATGTGTCTTGTCAGCTGCAATGTCTCCCAGGGAGTCATCAGGAAGAGAGAAGTCTTCTGCCTCCAAGGAGGAAAAAGCAGATTTCCCAGAATTCCACACAGAAGCCTCATTGACTATGACCCGATTGACAGAGTAGACTCCACCCCTTCACTCTTAATCCTCTTTAATCCCAAATTGACACCAGATTATGTAACTACCATACTACCTATCTTATATAGATAAAGGAGGAAACAAAACAACAAAAACAAACCAAGAGAAAAAAAAAAAAAAACAACCAATAGTTCCAGGTCTCTCTGCTTACCCTTAGGGATGTTTTCGAATCAAGTCTGATGAGGTGCCAAACCCTGCCCCCCAAGTCCGAAGTCTTTGTTCAGGATTCCTCAGGGACTTGGTTACCTTGCTCCCCTTGCTGCCCATTGCACTCCCTTTGTGTTTCACCAGCTATGTTTACACTACTTAAAACCAGGCTTCATTCTGGTT